GCTACGACCTCCCACCCGCTGCGCATCTGCAAATCTACCACCCACGCCCCTACATCTGCAAACATGGCCGCACGCTGGGGCCGACTCGCTACAGCTGACCGGGTCGCTCCCTTTGCGGTCGACGTCATTTTCCAGGAGCCGTCGTTGTTCGAAATCCTTGGATCTCGAACAGCGCAAACAAAATCCAAGGATTTCGAACAACGAAAATAAAATCCAAGGATTTCGAACAACGAAAACAAAATCCAAGGATTTCGAACAGCGAAAATAAAATCCAAGGATTTCGAACAACGAAAATGAAATCCAAGGATTTCGAATAAGGAAAACAAAATTCAAGGATTTCGAACAACGAAAACAAAATCCAAGGATTTCGAACAACGAAAATAAAATCCAAGGATTTCGAATAAGAAAAACAAAATTCAAGGATTTCGAACAACGAAAATAAAATCCAAGGATTTCGAATAACGAAAACAAAATCCAAGGATTTCGAACAGTGAAAAGAAAATCCAAGCATTTTGAAAAACGAAAATAAAATCCAAGGATTTCGAACAACGAAAACGAAATCCAAGGATTTCGAACAACCCCAGCAATAACCACCCGAGCTGGGGATTTCAGTAAAAGAGCAAGACACCTCGGTAACGACGCCTAGATCTTGGCAATTCCCAAGCGACGACGAGAAGCGGAGCTCGGGAACTCTCGCATCCGTTCCCTTTTTGTCCAGCTCTACCTTCCGCGAGATTATTGACCTAGAATCGCGAGGATAATGGCGCAAACCCGACCATCGGTCCTCGAAACTAACAGCTCAGCTAGCTGGACGAGAATTCTGGTAGATTCGAGGCCAACGATGTGTGGTGGGTCAGGGTTATCTTCCCGGTGGTTACGGTTTCCCTCTCTCCTCGCTTCTTCGCCGGTGAACTCGTTCGATCGGAAATTGCAGAGATAGAGGCGATAGAGAGGCTCAAAGGAAGTTCCGTCTCCTCCCAGACCCCTTCCTCGTCGTTCCTCTCTATGATTTCCAACAGGAAACAGGACTTGGGAGCAAGTATTCCAGAAAAAAAAGGGAAAAAGAAAGGAAATCGCGGAGTGAAGTCGCGTATCCCGAGGAGCCTCCAGGGGTGAGATCACGGGTTCGAGGCCGACCACGTAGGGTGGGTCAGGGTTACCCTCCCCAAGTTTCCCTCTCTATCCTCCTTTCACGGGTGTCTCTTTCCTTTGCCCGCAAGCCCGTCCAGCCGGAAACGGGAGGAAGAGAGGCGCGGAGGCGAGGAATCGATAAATCGGGAGCTGGTCCCCCGGGGCGGCGCCATCTTTATCCGGGATATGAATCTCGTCTCTTGGCAATACCCGGAGACGAGGTGAAAATCCCGCCGGGCCTCTCTGTACCTCCTCGAATCCTGACTTCCTTGACGCTTAGGACCAACAGTTGCACCAATTAGGGGATGCAAAAGCGCATCCGAGGCCCTGCAGGCCGCGCAATGCGTGCACGCACCGATGGCGGAGAGCTCCACTCGTGGGCGTGCGATGCTCGCCCTCGGCTGCCGCATGCGTGCTTTCGACAGGTTATTAATAGGGCACGATTTACGGGGCAGACCGGAGGATATTATGGGGCCCGACCTTACGAGGCGGACGCGCCTTTTCTTCCCGGCCGTTCCCTCGATATTAATGTCCACCTCCGTTCACCTTCGCGATCGCCTCCTCCCGGCCGAGGCAGCCCTTTAATTGCCCCGAAGTCGCAGAATTATACACGTGTCTCCGGCCACGTCGGATCGAAACTCGCGTCTACGATCGATCATGGCTGCCAAGTGCACCGAGGTGAGACCGCACATCGGGAGGGCGGCCATTAAACATGGAGAGTCCAGGTGCCACCCGCCCACGCCCGCCCGGAGGCTGCAGCCGATCTCTGCAGGAGGTACGGCGGCCCGTCTCCGAGATTTCTCCACGGTGCATCTTTTTTTTTCCTTTTTCTTTTTTCAACGTCCAGAGACGTAACGGCATGGGAAAGATCGCCGTAGATCGGTTGACGTTGCTTTCCTAAAAGATTGGCGTCCTATGGGGTGACGCTACCCCACGTCCTACCGACGATCGGCCCGTTCCTCGACCCCCTGGTGGGGAACGATTTCGGTTTCGGAGGCTCTTATTATCGATATTGGTTTTTTAAAAGATCCCGGACGCACTTGGTTACGCTCCTGCACTTTTTATTCGTATTGGTATTAGTACTGGTATTGGTTTTCTAAAAGATGACATCCTATCAGCTGACGCTACTCCACGATCGGCGCATTTCTCGACCCCATAAGTATTAACGGATTCGGTCTCGGGTTTGTTTCTTGGTTCTTGCACTCTTGACGTCGGTCTCGTAGAAGATCCGAGAGGAAGAGTGAGGCCACGTGGCGAATGAATTAGCTCGCCGCAAGGGCCTCCCCCAAAGGTTACGTGTGCTAAGTGAATCCTCCAGGGAAACGGGGAAGGAAAAGCCACCAGGAAGTGGAAACGAGGTTCTTCTTCGAGGGGATCGCCTATGCAGGAGGGGGGCAGGGGAAAGGAATGGAAAAGGAAGAGGGGAGTCCCAACTAGAGGCACTGGAAATCATGGAATTCCGATCACGGAACGACACGTCCGGCTCCCGTCTCCACCTCCGTTCCTCATAGGGACACGAGGAGTTCCTCCCGTCCTCTCTTCCGCCCCCTTCCTCCGGTTTGATTTATTTCTTTTTATTTTTTTATTTTTTTCACCGCCATGTTTCCTCCTACAACCTGGACGGCGTACTTTCGAGACGGCGACTCGTTCACGGGGCCGAAATCCCATGGTACAGGACCACCATTGGGGAAGTGGTTACGAAACGAGTCGCGAGTCTCCCGAACGGGAAAGAAACGTTTCCTCGACGCGACTCGATTTGAGTTTTTTTCCTGGGCATTACGCAAGATGACTCCGATGGAAACGGGAGGAAAAAACAAGCCGGAGGACAGGGAGAAGAAAAGCAGGAGAAAAAGAAGTAGTAAAGTGAAGAAAAAAGAGAGAAAGGAAAAACGGCACATCGCGGTCGAGAATTCCCGCGACTGACGAAATCCCGAGAGGCTCCGATTGCGCATGCGTCCGGTTCTTTCCACCTCCTCCGCGCGTCTCACCTGCCGAAGGTGTATTGCCACCTAATTCCCTTCCACCTCCACGACCGAACGGGGCTTTGGTTAAACCCAGGGCAGCCCAGTCACTCGGTGACGCAACGAGCTCCTTCCCTCTCGCTCCCTCTCCCTCCCTCTCGCTCCTCATGTAAATGCCGATCCGTCCACCCGTCTTTTTCTCTCTCTCTCTCTCTCTCACCGCCTCTCTCTCCCGCAACACCTCCGAGACTTTCTTTTATTTCTCTCCGTGTCACTGAGCTCTCGCGTTCGCTCAACCCACCACGAAAATCCGGAGCGAGAGCGCCGATAAGTAGGACGGACACGTCGAGCTGCTCCGACGTTGGTCCCCTCACTATGGTGATAAGTCACGGTTGTCCCCTCAAAACCGAATTTGTTCATGGGGTCGAAAAATGCATTGATGGTCGGTAGGACATATAGAAGTGTCTCCAGATGTGACGGCGTTTTTTAAATAACCAAAATCTAATTTGTTCATCGCTATGGGGTCGAAAATTGCGTCGATGGTCGGTAGGACATGTAGAAGTGTCCCCATATGTGACGGCATCTTTTAAAAAACCAAAATCTAATTTGTTCGTCGCTATGGGGTTGAAAAATGCGTCGATGGTCGGTAGGACATGTAAAAGTGTCCCCAGGTGTGACGGCGTCTTTTAAAAAACCAAAATCTAATTTCTTCATCGCTATGGGGTCGAAAAACGCGTCGATGGTCGGTAGGACATGTAGAAGAGTCTCCAGGTGTGACGGCGTCTTTTAAAAAACCAAAATCTAATTTGTTCATCGCTATGGGGTCGAAAAACGCGTCGATGATCGGTAGGACGTGTAGAAGTGTCCCCAGGTGAGAGGGCTCGGTATAAACAAGCCCGAACGAAGACGTAGGACGGGGTGCTGGTTTTTGGGCCAGCGGACCGACTTCTTTAGCTGCGTAGAAAGTCGGGCCCCTCTCGCCCCCCGGACGTGGGCACGGTCCTGGGCTGGAGTGCGACGTAAGTCCGGGGCCCTGGTGGGGACGCCCCCGGGTCTCACAGTTTCGGCAACTGCGTAACCGGTACCAGGTTTCGGGACGTATCCGCTAGCTCGGCTAACGGACCGGTAACGTTGCTACACCTAGGTATATCGCTACCTCGTGGCTTTCGAGAGAGATCGCCGGCATTTCCGTTTCCCTCCCTCCGGACACCCGAAGCAACCCTCGAGGTGCCCTCGCCGATTCCTGCAATTCACTTCATCCCGTTGTCCCTCAAAAGGTCGACCCATCGGAACCCACCGTCCCTCGTCGACTCCGAGGAGATCGGGCCAGTCGATCTCTCCTCCGACCACGTGGTGAGGCGAGAATCGCGCGTGCCGTTGAACCTTCGATAAATAGAGCATCGATCTCGACGTATTTCGGCTGATTTCGTAACGGGGGCCATTGTGGATCTTTAAGTGGGCCTCGCTGACGCACTTAGCGGATCGTTAATAACGCTAATTGGACCCATCGTTAGAAGCATCATGTGATGTTAGCCGAGAGCCGACTTCTTCCCATAGGCGACTTGCGACGCGTCCCATGGAACAGGTGTCTAGCATTATACCCTGTAATTACCCCTCTACGTACCAATCCCCCGTACATAAATATGTTTTAACCCTAATTGACTTCTAGAACCCAATCTTGTACCACCCCCATATACCCAGAGCATCTGAATATTAATAAAAAATTCCAAATCCTGACCTAGGGTAAAATGTCAGACTGTGGATACCCGTAAATTTCGTGGTATTTTTCTTTTTTTTTTAATTTACTTATCGCTAATTGGCGCACTTGCGTTGCTTCGCAACAATTTCTGCCTTTTTTTTGTTTTGTTTCGGTGACATCTCTAACGAGCGTCGTGTTTCTCGTTCCAGATACCTCAAGAGAGCGACGGTGACCTGCGAGCGCGTCCACTATGTATCATGAGAGCTTCGATGCGCACGTGAAGATGCGGTAGGTGCTCGAGAGGACCGAGCTTGCGACGAGCTCTGGGACCAGGAGATCTACCGGGGTCAAGTGACTCCGTTAGCACCCTCGCGTCTCGATCCAGCTAAATCGAGGAGTCGATCTCCCTTCGCAGCGCCGGCGCACCCTGAGGGTCCTCGCGCGCTGCGATCAGTCAATCCGGATCGGCAGCGCGCGAAGTCGTCGCCGACTGCGAGATCTCCGGCGAGCAAGCGAGCCCTTATCAGTGCGGCACCCTCGGCACCCGGGATCGAACTTGGATCATCGAGGTGTCGGCGAACATCGAGGTTATCGGGGAAAACCCAGCGACGTCTCGAGCCAAGGTGGAGGCAAAGAGCGAGGGCGGAAGAGAGCTTTATTTTTGGATACAACCGAGCTAGGCGGGAAGCAGAGGACAAAGATATACAAAAATATATATATATCTATATACATATAAATATATATATACACCCGCAAGAACACACGGATCTCGTGGAGGTGTATGCCGTCGCGGGAGGGAGCCGGAAGACGACGCGGCGTAGCGGAAATCCAGGAGCGTCCGGAAATTCGCCGAGGGAGGACCCACTAGGGCAGCGGGCTGAGCCCGAGGCCGAGGTCGAGGTCAGGACCAAAGTCGTCGCGACGTCGAGGTAACGAGCCACGGTCACGGTGGCCAGCCTAGTGAGCGGCAACGTCGCGGTGCGCTACAATGAGGCGTCGGGGATGGCGTCGGGGGCCGGCGTGGTGCTGGCCCCCGGTCCCAGGGTAGCCCCAGCCCCCCCCACGGGGATGGACACATCGGAGGGTCCGTCCAGCACGGAGGGCCCGGGGGGCCCCGAGGCCCCCACGGTGGTGGCCCTGGTCAAGGCCGAGGCCCCTGAGCACCTGGCCGGCACCTCCGGGGCGGCCGGGCCCTTCGCCGGCATCGCCTCCGCCAACAAGAGGCCCAGGCCCAACGATTGGATGCCCCCCACCAGCCCCGAGTCCCCCCAGGGCAACCTCGCCTCCCAGCATCTCGTCTACGTGGCGCCCCAGCAACAGCCTCCCCTTGCGCACTCCACGCCCCTGGTGCAGACCCAGCAACCCCCGGCACCCAGCAACAACGGCTACGCCAGCCCCATGAGCTCCGGCAGCTACGACCCCTACAGTCCCAACGGAAAGATCGGTAAGTGGTAGCTGAATTTCGGAATCGCTGGTTTTACCCACTGGGCAAGGGTGGACCCGCGACCCGGTCGCGTGGTCCCGACTGCGGCGATCTCTTTCGTATGGAACCATGTTTAACGCGTTAGGGCGATCTATGGTCGTGGTCCCCAGGTCGATGGTCGGCATAGGGTGGATGGACGTTGTCTCCAAATGGTGGCTCCTTCCTTGGAGAACCAATGTCGGAGGTCTCGAAGAATCCGTTTCCGTTCCATCCTCGGGGGACCTTCGCGCCTCCGAAGGCCGGAATCACCCCGGTCGGCGTCGACTTAACGCCTGGTAACGTGCGGCCCGATAACCGTTATCGTTATCCGACTTTTCTTTTTCCATCCCGGTTCATGTGTGCCCCACTGTCTTTCTCGCCTTCCTTCTCTCTCGTCCACGTCTTCGGCGGGCGCGTCCTCGTTCTCCGCCGCGCCGACCTTCGTTCTTCGCGATCGGTTACTCCGCCGCGTTTCCAATCGCGGAGCGACAGAAAACAACCGCTCCGAGGACCGTCGAGATATCCCGGGAAAGCCTCTTCTCTTCGGGCCCACAATTTCCTTCCGTCAACGCGGGAAACGCAGACGGAATTCCTCGCCTCTCGCCGGCCTCTATTCCGGCTGCGAACGACGGGAGGAAATTGGGTCCCGATTCGTAGGACGTTGCGACCGGAGTTCATGACGGTATCCTTCATCGATGGTCCCATGGCAAGTTCCATAAACTACGCCTACACACCTACAAGGTGTAATGGAATTCCTATCTCCGATTTTGAAAATGGACTCGAAAATCCCCTTACAAATATTTTCCACCATTCCTGACTTTATCTTTAACAATTGATTACACCTCATTCAACCAGGTCGATCGGTCAGACTCGAAATTAATCTAGGAAGTCGCGTGTATTCCTTTTATTTCCCTTTTTAACCAAATTTCTGCATCCTCGTTGCTTACCGACGTCAAACTAGCACGCCAATCGTTAATAACCATGCAACTGGTTGGTCATTTTTCGATTAATCATTAGCAGACCATTATTCATCATATAAAAAAAAAAATTGAACTTCATTTTCCCCGCGGATAACGATGTGTAAATAAATCAAGCGTTTCGCTATCTACGGTGGATTGGCGAGACAACCTCGCGTTTCGCTGATCGAATGAGCCTGGTTGAGTGTTTTCAATTAATTATTGGAGATGAATTATGCACCGTAGAAAAATATCCCACGGGGCTTTTCAATAGCATCTCCCACGAGGATGTGTATACCATGGGGAGGAATTCTTTGCACCCTGTATACGTGGTACGGTAGGGCAGGAAATCTGCTGGAAACGCTCCTCGTGTGCACCGCGCTAAGTCCACCTAAGAGGGAGAGACGCGACTGCACGAGGCGCATCTATCTTTGGTGTCGGGCGAGAAGCCGGGGAGACCCGGGGAGAAAAAGGCGAGCAAGATCGTGTGTCGCGGCCCGGGCTGCGGATGTGACATCACCGCTAATGCAGCAGCCTCGCCGCTTCCGGCTGCGCCCGACTGCTTGCACTACTGCCATACTGCGCCGGTTGCGGGAGCATTGTCGGCTCCGGGGCGGCGCGTCGGTCCGCAAAAACCGAATCGGGCCTTATTAAGCCGCCCGCGACGGGGCCTTATTAAGGATCCGCCGGTGGACGCGGAAACTCCGCCTCGAGACCTCCTTTTCCCCTACTTCTCCGTGGACTCGTTCACTCTCCTCGGCGACCCTGACGGGGAGGGATACAGGGCCACGCATCCCAGAGACGCGGATCTCGACGACGACGCCGCTTTTTGCCTGGCTGTCCTTGGTTTTTATCTCCCACGAGGAGGCCCTGGATTTTCGGGGATGTCGATGCGTCGAGGAAATCGTCGTCGTGGTAGGTCTTGGAGCTTGGAGGATGGGGGTGTCGGGACTGGGGTCGTCCCTGGAAGCGTTTGACGCTTCAACCTGAGTTGAACCTGGAAGCGTTTGACGCTTCAACCTGAATTGAACCTGGAAGCGTTTGACGCTTCAACTTGACTTCAACCTGGAAACGTCAAACGCTTCAACCTGACTTCAACCTGGAAACGTCAAACGATTCCAGGGGTCGTCCCTGGACGCGTGGACTATGGCACGTGGTGGACCCGGTACTTTCGTCGCATGCTACGCCCCCAGGTCGACAGGGAGCGGGAAAGAGAGATCGAGAACGGAATCAAGCCGTGACCGACAAAGAGGAGGACTCTCACTCCGCATGGCCGCAACGGACCGCGGAGAGTTCTCGGTAACTCGGCCACGATTAACGAACCGGCCTTAGGATTAAGGTCGGATCGGGAGCGGGACTTCCGCCGGGAGCTCGAACCCAAGGGAGGATCCCGGAGCTTTTAGGCTACCTCCGACGTGACCGAGAAAACCTTCCGGGAAGTCGAATAAACAAGGGGAGAAAGAAATCCACGCGCCACCGAGTGCGTTCCAATCCGTCAAGGGTTTATTTCAGTACTCGTTTAGTAGTCGTTAAGACGCGGGGCGAACTCTAGTCCCCGATTGTTAGGTTAGGTCGGGGGTTAAGTTGGAAAATCCTCGGGGAGAATTAACCCATTCGCGAGATAAGGAAGTATGAAGAACAGGGTCCTTACCGCCAAATTTCAGGCTTAATGATAGTGGCCAGGAAAATTGAGGGTATTTATACGCTAATGATGCAAATCGGTTAAGTAGAACTCGATGGGGTTTAATTATTAACGCCGGTGACCTTGGATGTGCTCGAAAAAGCAGTAAGAAGTTACGCGCGAGGCTGAGCGCAATTTTTATTGCCTCCCCGTCCTCGGCCCGGGAACGCGCTCTGTGCGACGCCCGACGCGCGAGGTGCTCTTTTGAGCACGCTTTATCGCCGTGTCCCGTTTCCGGCGCTTTTCGGCCCGCGTTTCTCGCCACGGCATGCGGGCGCTCGCGCGATACCCACGCAAAATACCCACATGCCAGGAAACGACCGGCACCTCGTCCCCCAACCTCGGCCAACGGACCTAACTCCCGTGTGGGTTATTCGTCGCGGCCGAGTGTCACAACGCGGCGTTCTTACCAAATCGCCGCTATTCCCTCCCGATCCATTCAATCTTTCCGAGAGGGGGTGGCGAGCGCCTCCACGAGACGTAGAGGTGGGCCGACTACGCTCGCCTAACGCAAACCTAACCTCAAACCTTAAAATCAGCGGCACCGGTAACGACATCGAGATTTATCCGAATTTCTAACCCAAGCGAAGTGAAATATTAAAAAATGCATATCTCTGTATTAAACGGGCCAAGCGGTTTCGTTCATAGCTTAAAAAACGCCGGAAAATCGTCCACTCTTGATGGTCTTGTTAAAGTTGACTTTACTCATTCAAGAGGTTCAGAAAACGACATTCATTGTCCCATTTGACGCGCTAGGATGAACATCGCAGATAATGACTAGGTCTGAGTTTCTTAATTTGGTGTTGTTCACCCTGGTGGTCATCCGATATTAAAAAAAGTATATTTCTCGCGGAGTCGAGCAGCCTATAAATTAATAAAGGGCCACATTTCAATTTCGAAATTATTATTACTTCGCCGCGAGGCGGGAATAACCCGCCGCCATGTTCTCCTACGTCTCCGGCGTATTCCTAAATCCGGGATTTATCGAGCCCGGATCCAGTAAATTGCGGGTCTCCGTCGCATTAATAAACCCGGAGACACGATCCGCGGGCTCCTATTCTCGAATTCATGCGGATTTTGTTCGCATACGAATGGATTCGCATGGGAAAATAAAAAAGGAAAATGTCGCGACATTGGTCGGCACTTGAAAGTCGTATACGAAACTGTCGATTTTGCATGCGGAAGCTGATGGTATGAACTCGAGAGTCGGGTCCCCGGGCGTCTATATCGACGCTTTAATTCGGATATAATAATCCAGAATTTAGGGTATGATGGAGATATTAGTCGTGGGAGGAGTAGAACATAGTCTTCAGAACGACTACGTCTTCATCGTAGTGGAAATCCAAGACTTATCGGGGCGAGACGCTCAGGATCGAATCTACGTATTTATTAATGCGATTCACTGGATTTACGGTAAATCCCGGATTTAGGAGTGCGTTGGAGACGCAGTCAATACGGTATTTGCGAGAGCAACGATTTCGTTTCGTTTACGTCACGGGGGCTCCGTAACGAAAAGTGGAACTAGGCTGCTGCACGTGGAGCGGCGGGACAGGGTTCAGGGACGCGACCGCGAGATGGCGGGACGCGCGGCGCGCTGGTTGGCTCGCCGGCTCGTAGATGTCGCCAGTGGCGCGCCAAGCCGGCGCGACGCAGGATGCAGATATGGCCTTGACTAACAAGCCGTCCCGGCGTGGTCTCCCTCCCTCCCGCCTCCTGCCGCGCATGTTCCGCGTCTCCGCGTGCTTTTTTCTCGCTCTTTCTCGTTCTTTCCCGCTCTCTTCGTAGCCCCGTGTGCGGCTGATGAATGCACCGCGCACACACGGACGCGGTGCAGCGCTGGCGCATTGTGTCGGACACGCGCGCTGCGTGTGGGAGTGCAGCGCGCGAGGCCGCACGGACTCGCGGGACGAGGTTAATGACAATGAGATTCGTTCCCTCTCGCTCGCTCCCCCGACGCGTCCATTTCCCTCGTTAACCCTCTCCGTCTCTTTCATGCCCGCCATTACTCCCACGCGCCTCGTGCACTGGCCCATATAATAATCGCTGCGTGCACGCCGCCGCCGTGAGATTAGAATTTTCCGCCGCCGGCCGGCGCTCCGACATTGGCCCGACATTTTGGGCAAGGCCCGACTCCGGACGAGGCCTGAAGTGTCCTGATTTCCTTCATATCGACGTCCGATAATAATTCCACCTACTCATAGAACAATGCGTTTAGCTATCATTAATCAGGTAACGTCTCGCCGAGCGAGATATTCGAGGTAGAAAAACTCTGGCACGAAGGAAACAGGCCCAAGGTCAAGAAACGGAACTTTTACGGCTCCTCGGGTCATCGACGAAGGCTCCTT